AAAAAAAAAAAAATAAAAAAAAAAAAGAAATTGGAGTGAAATTAAATCATGAAAAATTAGACTTTAAAATTTAACGATGGTAAATTAATTGATCAGAAGAAAACATTAGTATAAATGCTTGAAAGGGGAATTTGCAGGATTTCATAAGTTGGAGTTATCAGTTTCATACTGATAATCACTTTTTCGCAACAATCATATTATATTTTCAAAAATTTTGCTGTAGTATTGAAATCTTTTAAAGTTTATATGACATTAAAATTTTGATAACAGGTGGTTTGTGGCTTTATTTGATTATTCGCATCATATGAGTCCAAATGCAAATGCACAACAAGAAGAACTATCCTTTCGAAAACATCAACTCATTAAGGTTATTTCTTTTCCTCTCTCTCTCTTTCTTTCTTTTTCATCTCTTTTTTCTATCTCGATTATTCTTCACTGTTTTTTTTTTTTCATGATGAATTAAGTGTGTGATGATTCTATTTCAGGTTTTCGGTGACGTTGATCAGGATGGTTTTTACACTGGACAGATTGGTCATCGTATCGGTCTTGTCCCGTCGAATATGGTTATCGAAATTGCCAAAGATGATCTGATGCCACCACAACGACGTCGTTCAGATGCTGCTACATCCTTGGAACCGTCTTTACGACGAATGCGTTGGGGTTCGCTGAAGTCAAGAAGTTACGATCATGCTGGTGATCGTCGACCACCAAGAAGCAGGTAATGAAAAGTTACTAGCTATGGAAATATAGTCTACAATTATATCTATATATATAGGGCTAAGCTGAATATCAAATCACAATAGATTAATTATTAAGGGATTTCAGAATGATAACAGTGGATAGTGACCAATATCCATCCATCGACCGACGTGATCATTCGCTACCCAGCAGGTCAGCTGATTATTTTGGAATATCATCCAGGCGTATCCCCGTCGGAGATTATCGGCTGCTTTCCGCAAGAAGTGAATATGGTGGTAGAGGAGGAATTGGTGCTACTGGTGATGAATACGATATGTATCCACCGAACGGAAGGCATACGCGTGACTACTATGGTTACGCACGTGATCATAGGTTTGTAGGTTAAATGAATTTCATTTTCATTTCCGATTTTGAATAGAAACCGTTAGGTTGAATTTCATTTTGCTCAAAGCTCAAATCTGGAATTACTGTCACTGTCATTATCAATATAATTACAGGCCTCGTGAAACAACAACTGAACGGGATCGTAGAGAATATTACGTGGATGAAAGGGATTTATCGGAACGTGAAAGAGCCGATTTTTACGAATCTGAAGGATCTCGAGACCCTCGGGAACGGGATATGCGTGGTTATCGCGAAATACGCGAAAGTCGAGACGCGCGAGATTACCGTGACTTTCGAGATCCAAAATACCAGCGTGAACCAAGTATGACGAGACGAGAGCGGGATTATTTGGAGGAACATGATGATCAAAGGACGCGTGATTACAGGTAATCTGGGGACAAAAGACAAATAATATATCCACAAGAAGACTAGGAAGATGTGGATCAACTGAAATGACAACAATGGCAGAGGCCAAAAGGATATGATCCTTTATTAGGAAGGGATATAGCGAAATTGCCCGCTAATATAAATGTAACAAGATATGACATGTGTAATTAACCTTCGCCAAAATAAGCGTAAATCAACTAAAACATCACTTATCGCGGTTAACTAATTTTAGGGACTCCCGTGAATACAGGGAACAACGTGAAGCGGAGTACCGTGAAATGAGAAAGGATCGAGAACCAGATCAAGGTGCTAGGGATGCAAGAAGTTACGAAAGGAAGACTGATTATGGTAGACTGGAAAAGGGTTATGGATCGATGCGAGAATATGGAGTTTCAACCGGTGGCGCTCAATCGTATTATCCATCGGAAACTGAAGATTCACGGTAAAATTATCGATATTAATATCTCTGCATTATTAAAGAGGAAAAAAGTGCCTAAGCTCATCGAGAATATACAGCCCATATCATGTAGCTGTCCTAGGCTCATCTAGAATATACATCTCATGCGATTATCAATGATCATCCCATCCTTTCCTATCTTAAATTTACTTGCTAAATCCACAAAAATTTATAAACTTTCATCGAAAATTTGAGAAATTTACAGGAATTTATTTTCGGAAAAGGTGTTAATCTTTTTATCTCATGTGAAAAAACTGGAGATGAAGATGAATATGTGGAAGATATTAAACTTGTTCATGTTAAATTTTTCTTTTTCTTCAATTTCATAGTGAAGTTATAAGCAAAAGAAGTTTTTTTTTTCTTTCAGGCATGGTAGAATGAATGGTATATCTGTGCGGAAATTTATAGCTAAATTTAACTATGATTCACGAGAATTAAGTCCAAATGTTGATGCGGAACAGGTTGGTTCCGGAAGTTGTTTGGTTTATTCGAAATAATTGTTATAATGCCAGTTTATTTACAACGGAGAATAATTGTAGAGCTGATTGAAAAGTAAGAAGTAAAGTGATTTCTTTAAAAAATGAAAATAACTATGTGGATATCATCAGAAAATTATGCGATAAGAATTTTAGGTTGAGTTGTCATTTCGTGCTGGTGATATTATCACTGTATATGGTGAAATGGATGAAGATGGTTTCTTCATGGGTGAATTAAACGGTATTCGTGGATTGGTACCATCAAATTTCCTCCACACCTCATCACCAAATTTATTGGTACCAGCACCAATGCCCCATTATCAATCACAACAACAAGCCTCGCAAGTAGTGCCTCCCATTACAATTCCAATTCCAGAGCAGCAAGTAAAACCGAAAGGTGTTGTTTTTCAGGAAAATGCTAAAAAGGTTAGCTGATCATATATACATTACCATCCATTCATTTCGTTCTTTCTTTATCTTCTCTTAACATTGATGATAAAAGATAAGGTATATCGATTGTTTTCGCGCTTTGTGCTATCACTTACTATGACTATCTTAAAGGAATTTCATTAAACATATGAAATATCATCATATACAAATAAATTGTCCTCAGTCGTGCACTTTTATTTTCAAACTAGAGGTAAAAGATAGAGTTGAAATGATGTAAATTACTTGGGCAAATAAAAGTTCAATAATTTTTTTTTAATTTGTAGTTTGACTATTAATGCGGTGGAAATGTTTTTCAGTCATTGCCTGGCCGACAAAGTAGTCAAGTGTCGTCATCAGGTAAGCCTGTCTCACAAACATCCATGAAACCGAAAAGTGGAGCAGCAAGCAGTACCCAAAAGACACTAACAAAGAAACCAAATGAATCTGGCTCTAAATCCATTCCAAATGCCAGGAAAACATCACAGACCGCTAAAAAAGAAGCTACTCCCAAGGTATAACCGTTCATTGCTTAAATATTTCACTATTTCTGACAAATAGTAATATCAAAATTTTGAAAAGCCCTAGTAAAGAAATGAACTAGAAAACAGAAAACACAAAACTCAAAGCAGGCATTTGAAACGGAATATTTGATTCTTCTTACCCTACCGAAATTTATCAGATCATATGTTGTCTAAAAATTCCTCTTTTTCCAGAAGAAATCCTGAAGAAGCAAAATTTTTTTATTTGGATGTGTAATTTGCTGTTATTCCTTCTTGGATTTTCTCATCAATCATTACAAATACCAACAATTAAAATGCAATATTCTCAACAATGCCGATGCTTTATTTCAATGTCCAATAACAATTAGACCATTAGTGTTTGTTTTTTTGCTATCTTTTCTTTGACGCGATGCTGTTTACAATTCATTTCATTACTGTTACACATTACTATATATTATTATTACAGTATCGTTACATATTATTATTAAAGTTCTTTACTTAGCAGCAATGACAATGTTTTGATCAGTTGAGATAAATTATTCGATGTCATGTTTTTAATACAAACACTGTTAAAACAGATTGTTAGATTTCAAAGAATATGGTTATAGATATGTTCGTAGCAATGTTACAGAAACCATGCGAAATATTTTAGCAAGCATAGTTTTGTGTTTTATTGAAATACTAAAAATACATATTACCAAATCACAGCTTAAAACCTATATAACAAAGGCAAAAGTTGGATAGGAATTTTTCTCTCCCTAAAAAACGAAGTTAAATGCATCGATTAATTCAAGTAACATTTCAGTAATGCTTTCATCTGCGAGAGAAATGCCAAGAAGCAAATATAGTATGCTTTTAAAGATCGGACTTACCGCTGGATCTTTTTGAATCTCTAGAACTTTTTTCAAACATTCAAGATATATGGTGTGAAATGCAGAGATTATAATACCGGAATTAAACTACAAATGAATGGAAGGGATGAGAAAAGTGAGCAAAGGACTAATCGAATTGCTAGCAATCTTGAATATCGAAAATACACACATTCAGAGTTACAATGCAAAGAAAAGAGAAAAAAAAAACAAGGATATCACGTTACGACATTCAACGCACGCATCCAAAATAAATTAATTTTATATGAAAATCAAGATTTAGATCAAAATAAGACGATAAGCAGAGCTGCTCACTGCACACTTTCTCTTTGCATTTCACGCAACTGCTGTAAAAAACTGGCAAATTCGGAAACAGGAATCCGAATATTCCGTAGTTTCACCTCTCCATCTTGATTTCTTGTCCGAAATTCAATATTCATGAACATCTTATTATGCGTATCCGGCTTATTCGAACCAGCAACGCTTACTGAAAATAATGCCAAATAGACGAGATGAAGACATATACTCATCGAAATTTGCATAAAATAAATTATTTGTATAACGGAATTTGTAAACGCGATTTGTAAATTTGGGAAATTGCGGGAAAAGTATTAAATTTTGAAACACTCGAAAATTCTTCATTAATTCCATACCATCTTCCCAATGAATGAATTAATCTGCTCGAAGACTTTTATATAAAAAGCCTTCAAACCATTGAGTTAATGACTCATCAAGTTCAAGTTCAATTTATACATGTATGATCACTTGTCTGAGCTAATTCTGATTCTTAATCATAATACCATTAGAAATGGAAGTCAAGAAAATTTCAACCAGCTCCATGCAGCAGTTTTGAAAGGACCTTCCATAGCGATATAAGACGGCAATATCTACGAGATATTTTGCCATGAAGCGGATCGAATTTCCTCAAACAATCTTTACTGGATTTTCAAACCTTCTTAAACCATCGTTAATAATTTCCCTAATATTTCTTCCAATTTTCTATGTACAAAAAAACTTATTCCCGTCGCTCAAATGAAGAATTTGGAGTGGAACACATCGAACTAATAAGAACTGATAGAAACGGTCATCTGAGTTATTCAGTAAAATGCCATGTTCAGCTTAATTAATAATAAAAATCCGACAAATTTGAAATATGTGCTGTTTCATGGATGAAATATGTGAACTTACCGATTAATGAATATCCAACACGCTCCAACGTTTCCATTTATTCGCATATAAAGCTCGTTGACCAGTTCAAATCAGCAACTGTCCAAGTGTCATCTGCCTGCTAAGCAAGTTAATTACAAAAACCGGAAGTATCTCCAAATCAATTACTATGAGCCGGCGTCATCCTCAAATTCACTATCAGAATCCCGCCTTCGTAACTTTACTGTTGCATACGACGCCTATGCCACAGCGTATAAAATTTCTCAGATTTCCCGCAACGGATTAGTTCTGTTTTACGAGAAATACCGTTTTGCTCGAGAGAGAAAGCTATGAGAGAATTGAGGATGAGGAAATAGCACGATGATATGATGAGAAGAAATGGTAGCTATTGTATTTGAAGAAAGTAGAGATTGGTATGAATTGTTGAAGGTAAGAATTGTGTTTGATAAGAGAGAGGAACTATTTAATTCCGATTTTTTGTCTAAAGAAAGAGAGAGAGAGGGAGTAAGGATTGATAAGAAATGCTATTGTTGTTGGTATCCAAGTAGAGGGAAGGAAAGCAGAAAGTCGTGAGAAATACTGGTAATCTGAGATATTGTATATGAAGACTAAGAAGGATTTAGAATTGGATAATTAGCATTTGTATTATCATGAATAAATAAAACATACATTTGTTTATTTCAATAAGTTTTCTTCCACCTTTATTTTTAACAATTTTTCTCATACCTTCAGTTTAACTTTTATCATCTCTAGCAAGTCTTATTAATCTTAATTCTGTCTAGTTGACTGGATTTTAAAGTTTTTCTTTTTTTTTCACTACATTGTTGGAATATTTAGTAATAGTCGGTATAAGTTATTGCAGAATAATAGACGCAAAGATGGAATATAATGAATAGAGTACTTAACGACTTTCATTAACGGGTGGAAGAAGAAATGTCTGTGAAAGCTGCTGTCAAATTGTTTAAATCTCATCCTGTTTCATCTTTACTACAGATAAATCAGAAATTAAAAGATATACGAATACAGGTTTGTAATTTTATACGTGCATGTCCCATATTTATAATTAATAAAGACGAAGATCATCACGTTGCACTGCATGTAGTATTCATATCTTCTTTCTTAAAGAAGGAGGTTTAAGTTTTTGAAGACCTAAATGGGATTGAAAAGAAGCTTAAATTTCCTAAATGTTTACTAACATTGTTAAATGTTAAACTATTCCGTTAAATTAACTCTCTTATTTGTTATTTTTGATATAGGTTAAGCATATCTGTGATTCTTCATATTTCTTTTCTTTTTTTGAAAGACTTATCAATTTTCAGGGATGGGCACGTCGAGTTGAAACACGTGGGAAGTTCTTGTTTTTGCACATCAGTGATGGATGTTCGTTGAAAACGATACAAGCTGTGGTACAGCGTGATATTTGTCCTAAAGTGCCGGTAGGTAGTGCTGTGGATATCGTTGGTGATTGGGTAAAGAGTGACGGTAAGCAACAAAATATGGAATTGTTTGCCACAAATTGTGAAGTTGCGGGATTACAACAAAAAACGGTAGGTTTTTTTTTCTTACATTTTTTAGTCACCTTAGATCTATATTAAGGTAAATATTCAAACAACAGCTGTTGTATGGAATGGAGTAATTCCAAGCTGTGCATAACATAAAGCCGACTGGTGAATTAAGCAGAATAATTGATTGGCGTTATGTCATCATTCGAGGTATTAGTAAGGGAAATTCTGCATTGTTTCACTAATAGTCTATTGAATTGTGTAGAATATGTTTCATTTTAAAATAATATATTCTTCTAATCCTTTGCTCATCAAAGCTTGTTCAATTGTCACATGTGATTTCCTGTGGTTGATCGCATATCCTTCAAAGTTTAGTTCAGCGAATTACCCACCGAAGAATGTTGTGCAGATGTTACACGTAAGAAATATCACTTACGCATGAAATCCATACCGTTTATGTGTCTGCTGCGGCTACGTTCGCGGTTGGACCAGTTGAGTCGATCTTTTTTCCAGGTCCCTTTTCTTTTTATTCCAATATTATCGAACATCTGATAACTTTAAAATTTTATTAAAAAAATTAAAAAAACTTGTTAAAAATAATGCCTCTTACTATTTGTTGGAAATAAATGGTTCTTTGTTTCATTCCTGAAATCAAAAATATAAGTTGAAATACCTTTCATCCAAAACTTTGTTTTGATTTACTCAAATTCAACTCTTTTTTCTCCTTTTTAATACATCACTGCTGATTGAAATGTTTGAATTACCACTGCAACATTACCCATAAATTATCGCACTGAAATTCGAAATAAATCCCAGCGGTCAGACTACATTGTTTCTTATGAAACAGTTGCTGCTTGGTCAGTACTTTTCCTATTATATAAGTTTGGAAAGACACTACTTTAGGAGGAGTCGTTCATCCATGTGGATACACCACTCTTAACGCACAATGACTGTGAAGGTGCTGGTGATGTATTTACTGTTCAGGTAATAAGTGTTTTACTGTTTTTATCGGTTATTTTACTGGAGAGTGGGATAAAATAAATAAATAAAAGTAGTGATTAGAAAGCACTATTAGTAGAACGGTCGAGAATTTTCTTGAATCATCCTTGCAGTCGAGTTAATGCTGGTGAAACTGATATTTTTTCTTTTATGACATTCAGGGTTGACCTTTGTTGGGTATGTTGTTGGGTATGTTGAGTTATGTGCTTCATTTATATGGCGTCCTTTAGTTTACATCATCTGCTTTACTATTTGTTGAAATACTTTGTTCCTGGATTGATGCATCACTGTGAGAGGTATTCAGAAAGCCTCTTTCTTCGGTGTGTAAAATCAGTGGTAATCATTGGGAGCCGGTAATCAAAAACGTCATGAAGATTATTGATCTTTTCCTTCGTTTTTAGACGAATAGGGGAAATTATTTCGGTGATCAAGCAGTTTATTTACCAGTTTCAAGTCAGCTGCATCTGGAATCCTTTGTTGGGTATGTTGAGTTATATGCTTCATTTATATCGCGTCCTTTAGTTTACATCAATTGCATGTTATTACTCTCATTGGACAGAAATTACCTGGGTCCCAAAAAATGTTTCCAGTTTATGCCAACATTCAATTCCACAATACTGATATTTGTAATTTGCTACAGTAGCTTACCGAAAGTATATACAATAGCCCCTGCATTACGTGCTGACAATTCGCAAACTCGGCAGCATTTAGCAGAATTTCGAATGTTGGAGGCAGAATATGCGTTTGCAGATGATTTAGAGCAATTATGCGATTTAGTGGAACGTTATGTCAACTATGTAGTTGATGGAATGCTTAGTTGTGATACGGCAGAAATCGATTCAATGATGCAAGTGTTTTGCGATAAGGTAGTTTCTTGTTTTAAAAAAAAGTATGCCTGGATAGATTTGATATGAAAATACTGAAACTATAAGTATAACAACAATTAGATCTTGCTTTGGGTGATTCTCGATGCTAATGTTATGATTTCAGATTGCATGATCGCCGCCTCATATGCCTCGCATGCAAATTTTCTTTCAGAGTGCAAAAGTACAGTCACTTTTGTGGATTAATGGTCCCCGGAAGCCATTTCCCCGTATTCATTATGATGAGGCGATTGCAGTATTGCAAAGTAAGGGCGAAATGACATCTGGAGGTCGGTTTAGCAAGGAGAACGAATTAACCATGGTACAACACTGTACTGGCCCGTTATTTGTCCTGCGTTACCCGCATATACAGAAGCCGTTTTATATGAAACGTTGTGGCAATTATGTTAGTACGAGAATTCGCATTATATTTAACTAAATAGAAGTGCAAAATTATTCCTCTAAGCAACAAGAAGATAAACTTCTTTACCGATAGATGGAAAAGATAAAGTCACTGATAGTCACTGTGTAAAAGATGGTATTGTCTTCTTGATTTAATAACAGCATCGGTCATCCATTAGCATTATCTATTTACAACCATTATTTTAATGCATCAAGATGTCCAACTAGCGAATAATAAAAGGAAAAGAAAAATATGAATTGTATTGAAATTATTTGATAAGTTATTTGTTGTAGGCGGAATGTTTCGACTTGTTGGCGCCATTTGTTGGTGAGCTAGCTGGTGGTTCTTTGAGGGAATCAGATTCAGAAGAGCTTCGTCGCCGTGGATGCGATAATTCACTGGATTGGTACTTGGAGATGCGACAGCACGGGCATCCAACCAGTGCTGGGTTTGGGATTGGTCTGGAACGTTTCATGCAAACTTTGTTTGGTATCCTAAACATTAAAGATACGGTAGCGTTCCCAAGATGGTACAAGCATTGTCCAAGTTAAGTGTTAGCTTGGACAATGCAAAAATCATATTACAAATATTTGTTTCGTGTTTATTCTGAGATTGAATTGTTGACGATTGTCTTATTATAAATTGTAAAAGTTTCCTTTCTCGATTAAAAAATTTTCGCTGTTTGCGTTTTCTCGCTAGCAAATCTTTTCTTTAAGGCTAGGAAAATCGTAAAATCTTCAGCTTTGAGATTAGGAAAATACTTATTTGCTCTCAAAGAGTTTATAATGAAGTTATCTGGTGAATTTGATTATTATCTTCTGCTAATGTGAAAGGTAAGTTGTAAAATTACTTGATTATGTAAAAATCTTGTGATTTTTTAAAAGATTCTGGAACATTGATTTTGTAGAAATTGTCATTTGTAATTCAATTTATTGGATTTCAATTAAATTTCAATTTTCAATTTTTTTTCAAATTTTCAATTTCAATTAAATTTCAATCTTCAATTTATTGGATAAATTAGGTTCTTTTTCTTATTTTGCTGTTTATTATATGCTTGCGTTTGACGATATTTGTATTTATTAGTTCCCGAACATCTTATCTGATTCCTTAAATCAGATATTCTTCCATACAAATGATGACATTTTCACTGTTTTATTTCGAACTTTTTCACATATTATGCCTTACCCGCGGATATGATTTCGTCAACTACTGTTGTTCGAAATAAGTGATTTCCTAGTTTGTTACTTCTAAAATATGCGAGAAGACTAGAATTTGTTTGGAATGAACTATGTTGTCATTTCAGAAATTTATGATTATTCCCACTGCAGTACAACTTGATTTACTGTAAAACAGTTCGCTGAAATAATTTGCTGTTGGAAATGGTAAAACTCAAAAACAGGTAACATCCCGGTGGTTTTTTAGCTTTTTTTTTTTGCTAAATAATGACATTCGTGATGCTTTTCGACAAAATCACAGATGAATAACATTGATATTCGTTTACAAATTCGGATCGCTGTTGCTGCGCTTGTTATTACTTCTTTTCCCTTTCAGTCTTGTCATTGACACAGTCCGGCCTTTCTTTATAGTTCCGGAATCATATTTACGGTGTATTTCACTCGTTTTTCTTTGTTTCCTACTTGATCTCAAAGTTCGTTCAATTTCACGTGTTTTAATTGGAAGGGAAATGAATTAGAGTAGTAATTTTGACTAACTACAGAATTCAAGAAAGATTAAAATTCTTTTAAGATATATTTTGATGGATATATTATTTGATGAAAAAGGTGATGTCGTAACGGAATCGGCGATTTATGTAGCACTCTGTAAACAGATCGGAATTCTCTTTGGTGATTACGGAATGGCAGCAGCGAAACTTTCACTAAGTGTTAAGGTTTATTTAGCGGTACCTTTACCAAAAAATTACGGTTCAGAAAATTGGTTACCAAAAGTATTTTTTTTAGTATGTATGGCTTGCATACTCCATGCTGACTTCCCTCTTTAATCAGCCCTTTAATCAACAATATTATGTAAAAATTTGTAAAATAATGCGGAATATTTCAATATTTCACATAATGTTCTTCTCTACTAGGCAGTGATAAATCTGCACAGCTGAATAGAGAGGAGTAGCAGTTTGGTCACGGTATTAAAATCTGTTTATACTGAAGATTTTCGGTATTAGTTTAAAATCTGTTTATAGTGATAGGTTTTGCTGATAGGTTTTCGATGCTGGTACGGCAACAACTATTATCAGGATATCGAAGGAATTTGCACAGCGACTCCTCAGTACAATACCATTCGTATGCAAAATTGATGCTATATCGGTTGTGCTACAAGTGCTCTTTGTTGGTTAGACAATTCTTATCTATTACATATTTGCACTGAAAATGAGATGAAATTGATGTCACAGGAAAAAATTGAAAAGAAGTCATTTGGAAATTATGGTGATAATTCGATATTAAGGGATTATTGATTGTCATCAGCAGAACATGGTAATACTAATAACAGTACCAGTGATAATAATAATTATTATTATTATAACAATGGCAATAATAATGACAAACCACAGTGATAATAATAATCGATAATCAATAACCAATAATCAATCAATCAATCAATAATAGTAATAATCAATAATAATCGGCAATAATTAATAATAATCAATAATAATGATTAACGATAGTAATAATGATAATAATTAATAATAA